GTTTGGTTGGCATGGTAGATTAAAACTAAGGAAGCTGATATTAGGAAAATAGTTTCACTTCGCTCTGCGCAAGCATTGCGGCGGTGGGGGGTCGGCCGAGCGGACGGGATCTTCCCCGAGATCCACGGGTAGCTAATGTTATGGGCGCCGTCGGCATCGGGCCGCCGCGGCGCAATGGTACGGGCCGGCTGGCCTGCAAAAGTTGCAGCGCTGGCGGCGTCCGCGGCCCGGACCGCGGCTTGGACGCCTTCCGACCAGAAAGGCGGCGGGGGCCTGCAGGCGGGCCGGCGGGGGAGGGGGCGGGCGCGCCGGGAAAAGCGGGAGGAAGGGGCCGGGCGTGGGGGGGGGGGGGGGGGCGGGGGGGAAGGGAAGAAAAGCAGGGGAGCGGGGCGGGGTTTTTAACATTTCTTATTTTTTTCTCTTGACTTTGTGTTTCCCGCCCCGCCCCCCCCCCCCCCAGACGTTTTGACTGGCAAAATAGGGGAATTTCCCTTTCCCTTGGCCCGTTTTTTTCTTTAGTACGGGTTCCGCTTGACCGTTGACAGCCGCGGGCAGGGCTAGACAGGGCAATTCTGTCGTCGCATGGTCGGAGTAACGAAATCTGATTATAAAATTCTAAAGAGATATTGCACTCTCGCCACTCCCCAGCCAGATAAATACTAGACCAATGTTCCCCCTCCAACGGGGTCGCAACCGGCCGACGAAGTTCCCCCGCCAATCCAGCCTACTTCAGCTAATGTACTGGATGGGCGCGGTCGCGGGTAGCGAATTTGGAGCGCTAGTGCAAACGTGTGTCGTCGCCCCTCGGGATCCACGGTTGCCATGTACTGGCCGGACCCCATGATACTAAAGGAATTTCCTTCGGGCCGTTTTTATCACGTGTTCGTCGGGGACTGAAGCGCGGGGCAGGCTGAACCAGGCGGACGTGTGCCATGGTAAAATCTGATTTAGATTAAAAAGTACGTAACAAGTGAAAATATTCACCACTTCGGGTTGGCCATCTGCTCTCCAACTTCAGCGCGATCGTTCCTCTATCCTCCGCTGCGACGATTCCTCCCGGACCCATCCCCAGCTATGGCAATCATTTATCGTCCCGCTGACAGCGAGTGTTGGGGCAACTAATCTCCCAGCCCGGGCTGCAGGAAAAGCGTTGCACACGGCCCTAATTGGTCGGAACGGCGGCGCCGTGTTGGACCTGCGCATAGAATTTTCTCTCGCGCCGTTTTTATTACGTTTTCGACTGAAAGCCGGGCATTGATGGGGGCTCTGGACAAGCACCGTGTTGATGTCGTAAACCTTATAAAATCTGAGATCTTATTGATAAAAGGTTCACTTCGCTCCCGAAAGGGCCTAAATCAATCATGCCATCCACCCTCCCTCCACCCGATTTTCCGTCTTGCACTCGCGGCTTCACGCGGACTGATCCTCCCCCCGAATCCGCAGCTATGCTAATCGTCATCGGATAACGGGCGGCTAGGTGAGGTCAATGGAATCCCCAAACAGGAGCGAATTGGCCGCCACCGCGCCCACCGCTTGCAACACCGGTTCGGTCGAGCGGGCCGCTTGACTGGGCAAGATAGAATTTCCTTCGGCGTTTTGCTTATTGTACGCGTTCCGGGACTGACGCCGAAGCCGGGCCGCAGGGCTGACAGCACCGTGTGCATCGGGGTTTTGGTTAAAACAAATTCTCATATCTTTAAAGAAAAAACAATATTTCACTTCGCTCTCAGCATCCTCGCGCCGCTCCGGACGCGATTTCCCCGGACATTCCCCACGCTATGGCTACACTCGTATGGAGCGAAGGGAAAAAATGGCCCGCCGCTCCGGCACCCACGGCGCTGCAACGTTGGCTCGGGATTGTGACTAGGCAATCTTATTGATAGGAATTTTTGCCTTCCGGCCCCTTTGTTCTTTAATACCGTTTTTGGACGCTTGACCTCGAAGCGGGGCACAGGCTGGGTCTGGGACAGCACCCGTGGTTTGTGCATACGCCTCGTAAAATCATGACCACATATATAAAAATGATTCACTTTCGCGGCTCCTGCAGCATCGGCGCGGACGCCCGAATTCGCCCCCGATATCCCAGCCATTGCTAATGGTATATGGGCCGAGAATGGATCCGCTCGCGCGCCCTGTTGCAACGATTTTGGTCGACGCGGTTGACTGCCGCAAAAGTAGAAACTTTCGCTTCGGCCGTTTTTGATACCGTTTTCAAGCCACAACCTGGACTAGAAATCCCCGGGCGGTCCCGGTGTCTGGAGGGGAAGACTACAGGAATCAGTGCCGTTCTGGACAGCCACGTGTGCGCATGTTAAAGTCAACAAAATCTGATACTTCATCAAATATAAACAATATCACTTCGGCTCTCCAAGCACGATGCCGTGGTCCCCTCCACCCCTCGCGCGACGGATTCGCCCCGAGAATGTTCCGCAAGAGCTATAGCTTAACTGTGATGGGCCGGAATGGCCCGCCTTGCAACGTTGACCGTCGCGTGAAGTCTGACTCCGCCCGATGACGGGACCGTCTGACTTGCCAAAAAACTTTAGAATCCCGCTTCGCGCCGTCCTCTTTATGTTATACGTTTTCAAAGGTCCTCTGGAAGGCCGGGACAGGTGCGGTGGCTGATACAGCACCGTGCACCCGTCGCTGGGTGGTAAAAATCTTGATATAACAATATTCACTTCCGCTTCTCAGCAGTCCCCTCACCGCTCCCGTCGCGCGCGGACCGCCGGTCGCTCGCCAGCTCCCCGCCTCTCCCACCGCCGCGTCCGGCGGCCCTGCACTGCCCATCAATAATTACCTTGAGTTCGGGGCGACGAATTCCCTTCCCCCGATCATCCCACGCCTATGCCTAATGCTGCTAATCGGTGCGAATGGTCTTGGCAACCACCCCCGCCTGCAACCGTTGTGTCGACGTATAGACTGGGCAAATAGAAATTTCCTTGTTCCTCTTCGGCCCCGGTTTATTTATCACGCGTTTCGACTGCGTAGTAACTAGTAGTATAACCGTCAGCAAATAGGAACGCACAAGATTCATATGATTGCAACGCATACTAACCCATGTGTATCTGTAGTTCCTTCAATTACAACGTGTGCATAATATGGGACTCGTTCTAATGCTACGGAGGGTAACGCATTATATATAACATAATAATTATTATATACTTGACATTGGGCATAACATCGCGTAATAATATGGAATCACGAATACTACATAATATAGTGACTTACACATTACACACATAGTTAATTATACACAATTACAGAATTATACACATAGTGACTTGCACGCATTATTATATTTTATGTACGTGTTTATTAGACATGCGAATTTTACAGCGGTTTACACTATAAGGACGATAACGAGATAAAATAACCTAATTAACACAAATTGTAGCAAGCGTTTTCGTAACAATGTGTAATATAGTAGCAGGGGCAATGTCCACAGATAGCGAATGCCGCTCAGTCACGACACCGTGCGTAATAAACACAACTCAATGTTTTTTCAATACCATTTACATATAATGGATTTTTACGAATAAGTACGTTAGTGGATTACACTAGTGGAGAACGATGCAGGGAGACCTAGCTGCATTGTGCTCTAATTCAGAAGTGTGCATGGTCGCTTGAAAACACTATATAGATATAGAGAAGAGATGGAAAGTAGAATATGCGTACATCGAGGCAAATTTAACAAGTAGTACAAGTCCCACAAGAACACATATACCTTTTAGAGTCTCCAGATTAGAGGCGCGAATAACATCATTGACAGGCGATAATAATAGAACATAAGTGTGATAGGTAATGATAATTTAGAGCAGCCGAACAGCAACAATTGTTTTCGCGACAGCACATACGGTAATATATCGCGCAGTTTAGCGGGTACACGCGTGCTGCCGTGGTTGGCGAGCAACCCTACCTCCCTGTCTGCATAAGTGGCGGCAAATGTTTGTCTCAACAGTAAGCAACAGTGAGCAAATGCTTAGAGTGAGCTACGTGGTCTCACTTGCTTCGAATACAATGTCCACGTCGGCACGATTGCAACTGTCGCGCTCTATGACCGGAGTATTATAGCCGTATGCACACAGGCACAGCAATGAGCTCTATGATTACCATGCTACTGTGTGGACATCTGATATCATTATAATAACACAATAATACAATATAACAGCAAGTATAACGCTCTTTACGATAACGAGGTACATGCAACAGCAGAAAAACGCATAGAAGCCGTTTCATAATGATTCCATCAATAAGTGTATAACTCCAAGTATAAGTGTAAGACGATAAACACGACGCATACGTCAGGTAAATACGGTAGGGGATTTTTCTTGCGACAATATATCTCTGTCATTCATCGACAAGCCCACACGCCTCCTACACACGATACCTGACATATCGTACATATAGCTAACATACACTACGCGTGACACATGCATTCACGCGTTTGATAGAT